TGCACCCCTATGAGAAGATGGCACGTACCTAATTTCATATTCAGAGAAATTGTATTAAAAAAACTAAAAGTAAAATACTTTGAGGCGTCGGATCTAATATCAAACGGTGAGTGGCTCTCTTGATAAAAAATGGACAGCTGGATGGTAAGGGGACGATAGAACTTCTATGTTGTAGGGGGTACATAGAAACCCCAAGTTTTAATAACTCAGATGTACCTTAAAAGCTCACTTTCGCAAGAAACTTATTATTAGTTTATGTCCAAATTTACGTCTTTCAGGAAAGTTTCTAGAAACTTTCTTTTCCAAGAGATAGTGACCAGATTTATTGCCAGATCTAGCCAATTTGAACTGGGGTTCTGGTGGAAAATCAGTAATCATTAACCCAACTTACGGTATAGATGGCTCAATCCAAATTTTCAGACTTCCACAAGAAACAATTTTGAATAAAACTAGCATACACAATGATTAAAATTTTGGCTAAGAGTTCTGAACTTTTGCGTAATTGGACACGTTCGGACTCAAATAAAATGAGAATTATAGAATAAAGCCCTAGTATCTCTTCTTTGTAAAAGCACCCCAAATAACAATTAGATAATTCATATTTTCCTAACATAACCCATTCAAGAAGATACAAAAGATTGAATTTATTTGAATTTTCAGAATTCCTTGTTGTATGAGAAAAATAAACATAAGATCAGACCAATAGTTCATAATCGTCTGTTAACGATAAAAATAATCTAAGTTCACCATTCAACTCACTTCAAGTAACATATCAATGGTAGAATTCGCAAATAATGAAGTAACCAAGAATAATAATAAACTGCACAGGTTGCAAATCTTGAAAACCAGTAGAAGAACCAAAACTGAAGGCATATGAATGAAAAAAATACTAGTTTAACAAGCAAAAATAATAATCACAAGACTCGGGCTTATTCGCATATGCAAGAGAAATGACTAACCTAAAAAACAACAAACGACCATCACATCTATGGTCATTCTTAAAGTCAATTTAATGAAGATAGATCTCACAGAAGAAACACTGTATCAAGACCATGTAACATGAAAACATGCTACCCTTGAAATAGAGATCCCAATCCAACCCACAATGAAACAAATCATATGGAATCATTTGCATAAAGTAACCCCCAATCCAAGTCCACTGATGATGACCCAAAACACCCCAAAAACACCTCAAGTTCAGTCAATCAATTCTTGGAAATATGCATGCAAAACAAAGTGCAGGATCAAAATGATAGTATCTATAAATTCATAGATTATGCCCAAAAGTAATATAGCCCATAAAAACCTTAAGCTCAACCAATTCCAGAAATAGAGAACTCAAATGCAAACGCACTGCAGGAATTCTATGGGCAAAGTGACAAATCCCAGGAGCCATGAAAAATCAGATACAGGAAACAAAGAGAGGCGAGAGAAGAACCTGTATCTCTTGCAAAACAACAACACGCTTCTTGACTTTTGTAGAAAGAGACTCAAGAACATCTGAGTGCTGACCAGCAAGGTGTTGCAGCTTGTTCTGCGCACAGACCCCATGAACCCTTAGCGATGGAGCGAGGTTAACAGAGAGAGATAGTTCATAGAAAATCCCATAAACACCAAAGCCAAGTCCCTTAAAAACTATAGAGAGAGAGAGACCTTTAAGGCATTGACGAGTCCGGCTCGATCCTCCGCGCTGAGAGCTGTGAGAGAGAGAGAGAGAGAGAGAAAAATAAGAGGTTTTGGGAGAATTCATGAGGGCAAGAGATAGAAAGCGGGTAGAGAGAGAAAGTACCCGCGGCGCCGGGTAAGGCAGACCCAAGATCCGCCATGTTGTAGGGAGAGAGCTGGTCGTTCTGCTTGCTCATCGCTAAAGCCCTGTAGAGAGAGAGAGAGAGAGAGAGAGAGAGGAGGGAAGGGGAAGGGTAAGACGGAACGAACGTCGCGGCGACAGAGAGAGAGAGAGTAGTTAGTTGGAGAGAGACGTACGTAACCTTACTCGTACTAACACACATACAGTA